TCTCATTAAAAAAAAAAAAAAAAAAAAAAAAAAACTGCAGTGGGTAGAAAATCAAAAGCTCCCTGCACAGCAGGCCCTACAGGGGGCCAGCCCACACCTCAGCAGCCCATCCCCGGCTTCACAGGCGTGTGACCTGTGCAGTCACACATGTCCCCACGCTTGGCTTCATGTTCTGCTGTGACCATCTTCACATTCTTAATAATTTTATCTTCTTCTTCTTTTTTTTGGGACAGTATCTCTCTGTCACCGAGGCTGGAGTGCAGTGGCACGATCTCGGGTCACTGCAGCCTCTGCCTCTCAGGTTCAAGCCATCTTCACTCAGCACCTGGCCTTTGCCTCCCTGAATACGGGGGTCCATGGGCAGAATACAGAAAGTAGATGTGCTGGCCAGAGGCTTTGTGTGTTCATTCCCTCTGATGCTGTTTCCAGCCAGCCCGGAGGCTTGTTTCTGTGTCCCCTCCAAGAGCAACGGGCAGGAGCCTGGCTCCCCTGCCATGCCCTCACCTCCAGCTGCTCAGGGTGCCCCGGAGCGGGCTGGGCTGAGAGCACCGTGAGGACAGGCCATCCGTCCAGCTCACTCCTACGGTGTGGCCAGCACCATCACACACTTCTTGCAGGAATAAGCCCTTTCTTTCACACATGCCAGCAAAAAGTGGCCATGGGACACAGTGTGTTTTCTGCTCACAGGCCTCTGAGCTTGGAGCACCTGCCCCAAGAGGGGCCCGCGGAGGCCTTTGGCTTCCTGGCTGTGGGGCACACGGCTCCAAAGACATCTGTGACATCATCTCCCCGGCTTCCCTGGGAGTGGGATTGAAAGGGCAGAGCTAGTCAAAGGAACTGGCAGGACCTGAATCAGCCACAGCGGGGCTAAAGATGGGCTCTAGGCTCTGAGTGCTGGGACTGAGACGGTCACCAGGAGACCACAGTTCCCCTCACAGGGCAGGTGGAGAGGTCAGAATTATCAAGAACCTCCTTCCTTTTGCAAGAATCCATGGCCCTGGGCTTGGGGTGCTGTGGCCTGGCGGGTGAAGGGTTGATGGGAAATACAGAGATTCTCTAGGGTGTGACAGTGGCTATGGCTCTGTGGCATTGAAGAAGCCCTAGGTGACAAAGCTATGACCAGAAAAACGGGGCTTTCATCAGATACTGTGGTCTGATGGCAGAACAGCTGCCTCCCAAAGGCATCTACATCCGAATCCCTGGAATCTGTAAATATGTGTTTTGTGGCCAGGGGATGTTAAGGTTGTCAGTCAACTGACCTGAGGGAGGAAGAGCATCCTGGGTTATCCACCTGGGCGTCATCAATCATTAGAGATCAATGGTAAATACGCAAGAGGGGGCAGGGGAGCTGTACCAGCGATGGGGCAGGAGACAAACTTGGCTGCTTTGAAGATGGAGGAAGGGGCCTTGAGCCCAGGGATGCAGGCAGCTTCTGGAAGCTGGGAAAGCAGGCTGCGCACGGTGCTCACACTTGTAATCCCAGCACTTTGGGAGGCTGAGTCGGGTGGATCACAAGGTCAGCAGATCAAGACCAGCCTGCCCAATATGGTGAAACCCCATCTCTACTAAAAATACAAAAATTAGCCAGGCATGGTGGCAGGCGCTTGTAATCCCAGATAATCGGGAGGCTGAGACAGGAGAATTGCTTGAATCTGGGAGGCGGAGGTTGCAGTGAGCCGAGATCGCGCCACTGCACTCCAGCCTGAGCAACAAGAGCAAAACTCCATCTCAGAAGCTGGGAAGGAACTTTCCCCTGGGCCTCCAGAAGGAGCTCAGCCCTGCTGACACCTCGAGACCCATTTCTGACTTCTCCAGAACTCTAAGAGAATAACCCAGCACTGCTTTCAGCCTCGAATGTGTGGCACTGACACAGGGCAGTCAGCCCCCACCTGGCGCTGGAGGTACCTGGCGCTGTGAGCTCCTCCTCATCTTCTGGGCTCAGGAAGACCCCGCTCGGGCTCCATTGCGGGGGTTGCTCGGAGCTCCCCCCACTTCTGGCCCGCCAGCCTTCGGCTCCTAGACAGCAAACACAGACACTCCCCGATCAGTGTGGGGCCCCGGCGGGTGGTCTCCAGGTGCCAGCCCCAGCAGGGGCCTTGGGGTGGGAAGGAGCCCCAGGAGAAGCTAGAAAGCTCAGGGACCCAGTTCTGCTTGGGGCATGGTCTGACCTGGAAGCGTGCCCTGCCCTTTCAGTGGGATTTTGAGCTCCACATGAAGACAGCTTGGGGGCCCCACATGGGGGCCCTGGGATATCAGGGCCATTTCTAATAGTACCAGACTTGACCTCGTCTTCAGGTTCTCAGAGATCTTTCTCACCTGTAACCTCATGACCCTGTCCTTCAGTGACCCATGTCATTAACACCACCGCAGGCAGGGAGGCCACCTGGCTAGGAAGGAGCCCAGCCAGGATGGGAGCCTGGGCCTTCTGGTCCCCAGTGCCAGTTCAGTGCCTCCTCCCTCTGGCCACAGCAGTTAACATGGAGCACAGCCCAGCACACAGTGAGTGCCCTCAAGGGAATACCTCTCCAGGGGGCAGCTGGGCAATGGGGCAGAGGCAAACATCTGGGGCAGCCGAGGGGTAGGAAGGGAGGGACACAGCGGGGAAAGAGGCCAGAGAAAGGAAGATGTCAACACGAAGAGAAGCTTGCAAACAGGCACCTAGAAGGAACTGGGAGGCCAGGCATGGTGGCTCACGCCTGGAATTCCAGCACTCTGAGAGGCCAAGGCAGGTGGATTACCTGAGGTCAGAAGTTCAAGACCAGCCTGGCCAACATAGTGAAATCCCATCTCTGCTAAAAATACAAACATTAGCCCAGCATGGTGGCCAGTACCTGTCATCCCAGGGGGCGGAGGTTGCAGTGAGCTGAGATTGAGCCACTGAACTTCAGCCTGGGTAAGAGAGCAAGA